GAGGGTAACTTGATGGCTTTCAGGTGAATGGTGCACCTGGAAAAAGGAGAAGTTGGTTTGCAAATTGTGCCCAGACTAAGGAAAAAGTCAAATGTGGAAATATATTTGCCTAAAGTCTGTTGGAAATGAAAACTTATTTTCATTAAATATCTTATTGGGCATCTGGTCGCTTACTGATGTAACTGACCTAGTTTTTTCTCTTGTGTAACACGGTCTGCTATTCTGTTTAGGATGTAAACCCTTCTATAAAATTCAGTCTGTTAGTGATTACACACATGCATCCACATGTGCATGCACCCTCCCAAGACACACACCCACGTACACATAATTGCCACCATCGCACACATCCGCACACTAAATGCAGTGTTGTATAGTGAGCTGTCAGACCACACTAATTCCTCTTTTTGTGTGTGTCTGTCCTACTGTGTAGCAGAGGGATCAGGATTGCCTTTCAGGATAACAACTGAAGCTCTAAGCTCTTTGTGTGTGTGTGTATCTGGGTGAACAACAATTGGCCCCTAAGCTGTAAAGAACCTTGCAGCCACGGTGTCGCCAACAAATATCCCCTGGCTGTCAGCAACGGACAGACTTTGTGTGTGTGTGTGTGTGTGTGTGTGTGTACACGTGCAGATGAGCCAACTTCCTGTGTTGGACTGAAGTTAAGTGCTGCTATTAGACTTAGGCCTCCGGTCGGGCTTCATTGTCTGGGAGAAAGACTTGATTATGCAGACAGAAACACACACGTGTGCAAGGATACACATGTATGTGTGGACATCATTCATACAGATGCAGTTTTTCAAGTTATCCCCATGTGCAAAAACGTATCCTCAGCCCTTTGTGCTGCACACACAGCCTCCATCTCTTTCATACTCATTAAACTTTTCTAACAGATACATTTTTTAGTGCCTGTCTTGCTCTGTCTGTTTGCTCTCTTCACCTTCCTGGCTGCTGTAATCTTCCTTCTTGTCAGTCAAAGGTGTATATGAAACTTAAAAAAAGGAAAAGGCTGTAATGAAACAAAATCTGTTTCTAACATTTGACTTCTTGGGATCTGTCATGTTGCAGTTAAAAAGACAATCGGCCAAGAGTTTGCCACTCAGGTGCCACTAATTTCATATTCTTGAGTAAACCTGCTGTTTCTACAGTATGTAAGCCGACTCAGAGAATGGCAGAGGACACACTCAATGGGAAGTAAAGCCACAGTCAGGTGTGGTGTTGTGCGCTTCAGCTTTGAACTCTAGATGCGTATCTCTTTGCCGCCCACATCGGAAAACAAGAAAGAATAGTTCAGCTTCTGAGAAAATGCTTTCAGTGGTAGAGAAGAGAAAGCCATGGCGACTTTTTTTCTTTCACAACTACAGTATGTTCAGTGCGGTTTTAGCACCATACCTTCTTTTTACAGCTGTGTTCAACTGACGTTTGTGCAGCTTGCAGCTTGGACCAATATAAAATATAGCTATATTTACCCTTTATCAGAAAACCAGTGTAGCATTAGACCTAATAAAAGCTGTGGCTTAGAAATCAGACTTTGTGGGTAGTGAAAGGACCAGTTCTTCTTACCATACTGACTCTGAGAGACGAGACAGTCCAAGTAACTTCAGAACAGTGCTGATTTATTCAAAGGATCACAGGTAAAATTAACATTACACGCTCAGGTATCTTGCACCTCCAAACTGCTCGCAGGCAGATGTAAGATGAAAGACCCTGAACCCACCAGGCCTATACATTATATCTCTTCGGTTGGGCTAGCCCCATACTACACAGAAACGTCAACCGAGACGTCTCTGTTGCCAGCTTTGCAGCTGGCCATAGCAGTAGTCAAAACATGAAGCAAATCAATGTGCGTGTGTGTGTGTGTCTGTTGATTAAGTGGTGTGTAAAACATTCTCACAGACTTCTAGTACATGTCGTGACTTAAACATAAGAACATATTATGGCTAAGGCTACAGTTATACATGTCATAATAATAATATTAAACACCCTGTCTGCTGACAGTCATCAACTCTTCTCTCTAGTATCCTTGACCAGATGTACCCTGTAGAAACTCATAAGCATGACTAAGCATTTAACAGTCTAACTAGACATCCTATCTCCACTAAACATTTCTAATACATAAAGTATCTATCCAATTTCTATCTGACTAAAAATACCTAACAGTAGACAGTTTAAGAACACTACATGCATCTTCACAGTTTAACTAGATTAAGGTTGTGAGACTCATTCTATGTACTTGTCACTGTTGAACATGATAAGCCACAGTGAAAGTCCAGATGCTTACAGGTAGATGACCTACCTGTAAAAAGTAAATAAATAGTAAATAAATCAGACCAAAAACATTTCAGGGAGTACATAACGACTGAGTACGGGACCAAGATATCACACTCAGCTGTGAAACTTTCCACTTTCTAGCTGTGAGCTTCATTTCTTTTATGTGTTAAACTATGGGAAGACAGTGCGCATCATCAGCATGCTCCAAAACTGATTAGTTAATAGGTAGCATGGATTCAGGTTTGCCGCAGCGCTAGCAGCTCTGTGAGGCTGTACTTGGGTACTGTGGAGGTTTGGCCTGAATGCTAACATGGGCATACTAACCTGCTGATTTTTTGTTTGGGAAAATATTTACAATGTTTGCCATTTTAGCTTCATGGTAATATTTGCTCATTGCCACTAGACACAAGTAGAGCTGAAGCCAATGGGAATGTCATTCATTTTTTAGGTATTTGGCTAGAAACCAATGTATTTCTACTAGAGGAAAAGTCAGTGTATCACCAAATAATTCAGTCTGTACCAGTGTGATGGACCAGCTAACCAAATTGCCATCCATGGAGCTATGCTGCTAGTGCAGGTAAAAACACTCTGAAGTAGTATTAATACTGTGTGTTAATGCATTTACTGTATTTCAGATTCATATAGCTAGCATGTAAGTGGAGATACTTATTCCATATTTTTGATAATAAGATAAAATATGCAGCACACTATAGTACTGTTCAGATACCTCTAGATAATTCCATTACGTATGTTTTGTTTGAAACTATAATGGCACTTTATTTGAGGAAAATATTCGACCTAATGCAGTTATTTTAATGCTGTTAGAGTTCAGAATATTTCCTCATATCATATGACTGAGTTTCACGTTGACGTGAAGGTTAAAGCAGAAGCGTCTGAAAGGCTTTTGGAGCAAACACAACAATGCATTTTATTACTCAATAATATTTAATTAACAGTTCTCACAGGGTGATGCTTCTCCCTCACCACCCTGCAATTCCTCTTTTTTCCATTTCCTCCCTCCCTCTCTCTCTGATGGCGCTGTTTGATTGCTTAAGCCTGGCCGTCAGACAGACAGACAATGTGTCCATGAAGAATAGCCTTGCTTCCTTCCTGTCTTCCTGTGCTGCGATCTGCCTTGGTGAGCAGGGTGAATAGACCGCTCTGCCCCACAGCTGCCATGAACCGCAAGGGGCCACAGCAGCTAAAACCAACAAAGAGAGCCATTCTGAGCTCTTTTTTTCTTCCCCAGTTCACATCCCCTCCTCCTCCTTCTACTCTCTGCTGCCAAATCACTGGGAGGGCCGGGGAGATAAACAAGTTTGCTGTGCTCTTGTGTTTCTTGTTTTTATCATTTTCTGCTCTAATTCTCTTTTTTTTGTTGTTTCTTTTTTGTTTACTGGCTTAGTAAGTCTGTGCATGCAGTATTGAACTTGATGGGTTGGTCACACAATGAGGTAGATTTTAAAAGCTGATCATAGTAGTAGTATTAGTAGTACAATGCAATATAGTGATATATTGTATATAATGTAGACATATTAACTGACTACCTGCACTAGTAAAAACATAACTCCTTTTGCATTTAACCAGCAACAGATAGAACTTTTTTTTTCTGCAACACATCCATCTGATCCCCCCACCACCACCAAAAAAAAAACAAGACAACCATCTCCGTATTGGAATACCAAGTAGGAGCAGGTAGCAGAGAGGAGCACTGGGGAGCCAAAATAGGTCCCTGACTATTGAAAACAGGATGAATGCATGCCGGGCTGAATACGAGGGTAAACTGTTGGGTCTTTGTCATTCAAAGTGATGGTTTTAACCCTTTGCGGTCCCTCTTACTAACAACACCTCCTCCCCCCTCACCCTTTCCCTTTTCATTCACAGCTGAGAGAATGCAGGGAGAGAGGCGGACCGAAAAGATAAAAGACTAAACACAAGATCAGCTCTCCCTTTTCTATCTCTAATAGGATTCTGCCCGTTATGTTTCCATCTCCACTCCTTACCTCACTGTAACACAGGTGAAAGTTCATAATTATGTAAAGCAAACTCCGCCATCAGTCAAAGCCTGGGGATGAATAACAAACAAGTGAGTGCAGGTTGGGTCTCAGCATGTCAATCTTGACTCTGAATACATGCCATGCCGCAAACACGTCCGTATGCTGTCAGCAAGTGTCAGGGGCTTATGTTTCGCCTGCAGGGACATTCAAAACCAAGGAATTTCTAAACAAACCTTTGATAAAAAAGTACGGAAAAAAGGGCCCGGTATCCGGAGGAACACGTACGAATCGAACTTGAAGCCAAGCCACGTTGTAATTGTAGGTTTACATGAATGCATATTTGTAAAAAAACAGGTAGAGTGCTTGATTTATAAGATGAAAAAGAAGTGACAGGACTCAGTTTTGGAGGTGAAGTAAATCATTTTCTGGAGTGCACGTTCTTCTACACATGGTTTTAACAGTGCCAGATGTTTTTCTCAAAGAGAGCCCGAGGTGCACATTTTTTGTGTCCTTGTTTGATGTCCGTAAACATCGTGGAGTGATTGTGTTGCAGAGACAAAATGGCAGAGGGGGTGGGGGTGAGCTGGTGACAGCGCCGCTTGAGATTTTGTGCAAAGGTTCAATTAAAAACGTTGAGAACACTGCTGATGTCGGCCTGAATATGAATTGATGAACATGTTGTAAGGAGCAATAAAAAGACGATAATGCAGAAAAAACAAGAGAAATGGTCCGTCAAGATTTCAAAGTAGTTTAATTTCAAACGTTAATATATTTGTCATCTAATTCATACTGAACTATTCATCCAGCTTTGACACTCCCACAGGTCACCTCAGATCTGCAGTGACTACAGAATAACCCCAACACATTTAATAATGGTTTCTCAAAATAAATATTTTTCATTATAAAATAATAGACCTTCAAATAAATACATATATTTTTAACTTTACACTAAGCAGTGTTGGAATTAGAAAATAAATTTTTCATACAAGGTCACTGTACAATTTACACATAGAAGGGATAAGAGTTTGCCTTTGTAAATTACATAAAAATGATTGATATACATTCCAGTGAATGTACAGACATTGTATGAATGAAGTTTACTGATTCATGTACATGTGGATTTATCAAGGTGCCTCTGGTGTGGCGGAAGACCTTTCACAGTTGAAGTATTATTATATGTACAAAAATAAAACATCTGTCAAACCCATTTTCTAATGTACATACCCTTTGCAGTTAGTAACAGGAGTCTGTTCTTAGCATATAAGTTGTATTAAATGTTTAAAAAAGGCCTCGTGTAGCAACAATAACATATCTGGGCACTTGAGTGATGAAATTATTTTTCAGGAAGGAACAGTAGTTGAATGTATCTTCATACCACTGAACATGTGGAGTGCTTATTTTGGTTTACTTTTCAAGTGAAACTGATAATGCTAGGGTAAGTGAAAGCACTGCCAGTGCCTTTAGTAGTAATGCTTTTGTCTACTTGATTTAAAAGTTGACAATTTGTGGCAACTTGTGACTGTCTTTGTCTAGATGTGGTAGGCATGAAACACAAAAAGTCAAGCACGACAGCATCATTAGCTTCAAACCTGTCAACTAGAGGGCCAGGACATCTATCAGTTCAGTCAGCGTGGAGTCTCTCCATCCTTCTGAATTTCAACACACACAACCATCTTGTCTACGTTAACTTGTCAGCATCCTCAAGAGCGGATCAGGTGTGTGTTGCTGCACCGACAGCCAGGTCGTGTGACTCGGTCATAGCAGCTCTGGCACACAGGGACACATCCTTTTGCTGGGAGGTAGCACAGGAGACAGGGGAAGAGTATGGAGAGGAGTGACACAGTAGTCCAGCGGATGAGGCAGTGAGACTGCGTACATGAGAAGGGCTTGTCTGCGCACGTGTCCTCATCATCACTGGAGCAGTGGTAGAAAAGTCCCTTGATGCAGCAGACGCACGTCCCATACTCCACTATGTTCTGCACCGAGCACACGCACCGATTGCCGCACATCCAGCAGGAAGGAAGCACCCGTGGGCGACTACACTCTAAACACTTGCACCGACCACAGTTCTCACACTTGTTGGAGTGTTTACCATTATTTTTAGAGCCTGTGCTGCCTGGTATGGCCACCACCGCCCTGGACCCATCGTTCAGGGGTTTAAGCTCTTCAAAACTAAGCTCTGCACGTTTTGGCTGGCTTCTGATTATCTGTTCGCTGCCTACTGGGGTGCTGATGAGCCTCTGGCTTAACAAAGTGTTCCTCACGCTGGGCCAGATGCTGCTCTGGGAGGTCTCTACATTGGAGAACCGCTGCATGCCCTCCTTGAAAGAGGTGGAAGTATTTGTGTTTCCATGCTGAGTCACTGAATGCAGGTTGAGGATATTATTAGACCTCTCATCCAAAGTCTCCTGTTGCACACTTGTCCTTGAACCTGGTGACGTAACCACGTCACTCTTTTGTTGCCTGTGCTGAGAGGCCGGAGAGCTCTGGGGCCCTTCTTTATACTCATTACTGCTCCCAGTTATCCTGATAAGATCCAGAGATAGCACTGCTGGAGTATGGGGTGGCTGCCCGTTGTCTGACCCAGGATCTGGCAGACCATTGTGGGTTTGCACAGGCCGTGGCTGCAGGATGACGGTGACCCCCCATGGTGTCCTCCTCCCCCATCGCTGTCGCATCTCTGACTTCTGGAATCCATCTCGGGACTGAAGGGGCACTCTGGCTAGCATGGGACACATCTGAAGTCCTGTAAGAGACAGAAACTGTTATATATCCATCTGTGACAAGCTATGCAAATGGTGCCATGCAAATCATAGCCAATGTCTGTTCAAACACCACTATGGAAATAAGTCCTACCAAACTTATGATAGTACTGGGGAGATGTGTGTTGGGAGTGTGTGATGACATAGTTAATTAATGTCTATAGCCAGTAGTGAGAGGTAGTTCGGTCTTTAGAAGGCTTCCTTTCATACAGCAATGAGTCTATGGAACTACAGCAAGTATGTCTATGTGTACTATGGGAAAACATGCATCGCATCAAAGGTTTGTTTGCTCAAAGCTGTACCAAGTTCCACAACCACGCTTTACTGTTCATGAACTGATAAATTTATTGATTATAGATGCTTTCCAGTCAGTTGTTTGTACAAACCTCCTGCTTCCCCTCATCTACTGTATGACACCACAATGACTAAACTAAGAAAAATAAAAGTTGAAAGGAGCTAGCAAAAATGGCTCTGTAGTTTAAGGTGCCAAGTCCGACCATGAACTGCAATGACTCTGGTTTGAGTACAGCCTGAGACTTTTGTTGCATCTCTCTCTCCCTCATTTCCTGTTGACTCTACATCAAGGCTGTAAGTGTCAAAAGAATTAATCAGCAACCATTTTGATAAAAATGAACTCTGAGGATGTTTTAGACCTGTCCAGGGTGGACCCCGCCTCTCACCCAGTGTCAGCTGGAATAGGCTCCAGCCCCCAATACCACCCTGTTCAGGAATAAGTGGTATAGATAATGGTTGGATGGATGTTTTCAAAATAAAATGCCAAAATTTACTGGCAATATATAACTTCAAATAATTAATCAAGAAGCAAATTACATTACAGTGGCCGACAGTTTGACTGAACATTCATCTGACTATCTTGGTAACTGAATACTTGTTTTAGTAGCAAAACATTTGCTGGTTCCAGCTTCTCAAATTTGATACTTTCCTTTGCCATACATGATAATAAACTGAATGTTATATATTATAGTTTTATCAAACTTTAGCCAATTTACAGTTTTCTACAATAACTATTTGTTATTGTATTCTCAGATGCTGTGTTCAAAGTTCACCTTTGTTGTGTGCCTTTACTGAGCGCTAAGGGAAGTTAGGGTACGTAAGTGCAGACTGATATGGATCAGATAATAGAGACATGGAAATTTAAAGGATGTGTAAGAGCAAGTGTAAAAAAAGGAAACTAAATGGCATGTTGGACAACTGTCTAATGTACGGCTTGTGTACTGCAAGTGTATTTAGTATGTTACAAACCTCTAACAACAATTCAGAGCTCCACTCTATAGGCACCCTCGGCCCTAGATCAGTTATTATCCCCCTGATTCATGGTATGGGGAGAGTGAGCATTTGCATGTTGCACTGCCACTCTGCATTAGCAGGCATTCAGACTGATCTGGTAAAAACGCAACCCCCTGCTGTGTTTAACGCAAGGGGCTGCATTGGTCGGGGCTTGTTATAGGCGTGTACAAGCCGACCATATTGTGATGAGTGGATGTGAGTGGCTTCATTCCCATTTCCATTGTATTTTGGTTAGCCATGCTGCTAATGTAGTATACTCTATTTTAAAACCAGTGTTACTACCATTGCATCAGCATTGATAGATAAAAAAAAAAAACATTTAACATCCCGTACTAACAAAAATGCATGGCGCGTCGTTATGCTGCATTGACTGTAGCCCAAATTCAAGCGTGAACAGCAGTGAATGCTTGTGCTAACAAAGTAAACTAAAGAGTCTTCTTCCCGTGGGAGTCGACATTCTGATTGTCCCCCTGTACATGATGCCACCATCTGGTGCTGTGAAAGCTGAACCAGATTAAACGTTTTCCCCGCACAGGGTTGCGTTGTTTTGCGAGAGCCCCCAGTTATGCGGTGAACGCAGTCTCCCATAGAAATGAATGGGGAGTTTGAACACGGCCTTAATCTAACATATTCAAATGAACAGCCTTGTTTTCACCAACACATCACACCAGTGTAAAGAAACTGGCAGTTGTGGCTTTAATTCTCCATCCTTGTGCTAATTAGCTTTCAAATGCCATCTTTGGTGGGGGTGGTCCCCCCTTTCAGTGACAATAGAGGAAGGGGATTTTGTTTGTTGCATGACAAATGGCCTGTTGCAGTCGTCCCCATTCTAACACATTTTACACTGTGACACTCGTGATGAGTGACAAGATAAAAAAAAAAGGTTGGAGCATGAAAGGGCCCAAAGTGTGAGTGATGCATTCAAGGGTGGTGGTGGGAGTGAAGCACTGCTCTCTGTGGGCATGCATGAGGGTTCTTTAGGATTTATGAGCTTTTTCATTCCAAATGAGGGGCTTGGAAACACACTCAAACTTTAACCTATTAGAGGGGGGATGTATGGACCCCTCATCTCTTTACAGGGCTTGTGTGCAAGCCATGTTGGCCACAGTGGGTGGGTGAAGTGTGAGGACTGACATAAGTAAACTAGGGCAAACTAATGGCATCGGCACCAAAACACCAGCAATCAGTGGTGACACTTGACAAGGTTGCACTCAAAGCTCCACGCAGTGTAGTAAGTTAAATATAGAAACCCAGCCAGTCATACTGATCCGCAATTGATTAGCAGTTTCCACTGCGGGACAGATTTACACTGCAACATGCAAGCGTGGTGGAAAAAACTGGTCGTGCACGTTGAGTAGCACATGTAGAGCAGAGAAACAGTTTGCACATGTGAGCAAACATATTTAGGACAGAGTAGGCTACTTCTTAATAAAGACAACAATAATTAAGTTACTATAGATTGCTCATGCTAATTTTATAGCTATAGCGTGAAAACACCTGTCTTCATTAAAGGATACGTGCACTTTCAACGTAAAACTGGCTGTAGAAGAAACTCGTACATTTTAAACATCTACACCATAACAGTGTGTGTAAAGTTCAGGTCCATACTCCGCTAACGTGTAGCTACGTTGTAACTACGAAAAATGCGTTTACGAGACAAGTCTAGCCAAGAAATGCGCATTGTTTTTCAACTTTCATGACAGTTTGTGGTTTGCAAAAGGCTGCACTTACCGTGCTTTCGACACTTTAGCTCCCGTCTAGATAAAATAAATCCGATTTTAATGTGAGTTTAGTCCCTGCATCAAAAGTTCAGTCGGGGAAAGCTTCGGCAAAATCCATTCAGAAAGTATCCGAAAGGAGCGCATTTCCATTAGAACCAGCGCTAAGACGTAAATCCCATGTTGTCTCGAGAGCACAAGGCGTTAAAACAGGCACAACTTCAGTCAAGTCACCACAGTGTAAACTTAGCGTTTCATTGCGCAAAATGGCTCCTTTCAGAAAGAAGCAAAAGGTGAAGCAAGCGACAAAACTCCAGCTCACACGTACCTTTAATTCGGCGTATTTTATCCACAGTGCTCTAAGGGGTCTGCCAGTACTTTTTCTTATGTGTGTGTGTTTGTGTGTGTGTGTGTGTGTGTGTGTGTGTTTTCTCTTTCCGGAGAGGAGGAGGTCGAGATTTAGGCTGTAAATGGCGTCAAGCTGAAGGGGGAACAGTGAGCTTGTTGTTGCAGCGGATATCTCTCATCCGGTGTTCAGCTATTGGCTGCTAGAGAGCAGCCATTCACACCCAGTGTGATCAATGATACTGCAGGAGCCAGACACCGCTGGTCAGGCGCTGGGCGAAAGTGTAGGAGCCCTTATCAGTAGTGACTCATTTATAAAACAGCACTTTCCATATCACTCCCCTTAAAACAATCTGTTACAGTGTCTCATAATGGGGTCGTTTTGGGTTCAAGTTCACGTTTCATAAAGGCTGCAAAAAGTCATACTTTATTAGAGGATCACCAGATGACAAATAGAAACAGTTACACTTACTTTGAGGTACTTTTTGTACTTTACTTTAGTGGTTTCATCTGATATGAGTTTATATATTACTGGATTTCGGAGATAAATTTTGAATAATGGACTTTTTATTTGTGGTTTTGCTACTTTTCAGCAGGGTCTGCATGTTTATGTATTCACGATGTCTTTGCACATGGTAGACTATAGTACAAAAGACTCTTATTCACCAATATTTCGCCACCAAAAGTTATTGGAATAGAGTATAAAGTTATGTAAAATGGAAATACTAAAGTAAAGTACATAAGAATTTAATTGTGGTTACTTTTCAAAAATATAACCACAGATAATAGAAGTAATAGAATATATTAATTAATTTGACCTACATAAAAATCAAAGTATTGGTAAAATTAAAAAAGTTATTCCCATTATTTTTCTTATTTCTAGAATGTTATAGGAAACTAGTTTGTCTTGTGTTCTCAATTTCTGTATTTTATAGAAGTTCAGTTAAGACCTGGGAACACAATATGAGATCCAGATAAGTGGAAGACAAATTGGGTGAGTGTAGTGCAGTGTCAGATAACTGCTGTCAATAACAGCTGCAAAACACCAAGCAGTAGTTTCCCAGTATATTAATCATACTGAACATCCCTGGTCACTTTGGGCACGTTGAACTGTTTGAGGCTCTTTGCCAGGGTGCAATAGCTCTAAAGTTAAAAGCAATCAATGGGAACAGATACAACTAATTAACAAGCCAATACTGTTTACACTCAACACTTGTGAATACTTGTTCAGCAGCTCCTCCTTGTGGATTCATCCTTAAACTGCAGCTTACAATAAATAGATGCTAGATTTGACATAAAACCTGCTTGTAAAAGAGAAATTTCATTAAGCTTGGACTTTATTGAAAAGTAATGTCACACATTATCTTGAAAGTCAAGCTCCAAACACATCCCCCCCCTTGCTGTGGAGCAGAACCCTTTGTCTTATAAACTATATTTAAAAAACAATTAGCTTTGGTTCAGTTATTCAGAGCAGCAGAGAAAACAATAAGA